GCAGAGATTTTCATGTTTTTCCGAATGTAACATTTAGCAAATAGAGACGGCAGGAAGATAGAAAAAGAGAGAGAAAGGAGAGCGTAGAGAAATATGGATAGACGAGTCGTGCGGGGTGGGAACATAAGTGAGTACTGCGAGTCCTAAACACACACGCGAGGAAGGTCCATCAATCTGGCTTGGAGTCAATATTGACTTGGTTGGGCCTCGTTGCAAAGAGGGCATCATCGGCACGCATAAAGAGGATCCGGATCGGCCGCCACGCCGGTCCCTTTTCGCTCACAGGACACGCGTGACAAATGCTCCGCGCGCAAACACCGGCGCATCTGTGTCCACAGGATAACCGATTCTCTTCCGAATGGCCTATAAATCCTGGAAGTGCAGTCGCGCTGCGGAGGTCCGCCGTTCGTTTCCTATTCGACGTACCTCCTATTCGCGTTCTTTACAAGCTTCTCTATCTGACACTCCGTATCGCCCGGAGCATCACCGTCGTCAACCTGAGTTTTTACATTTATCGAGCTCTTCGCTGAAGAAAGACACTCGTGGCTCCTCTCGGATTTTACTTGAATAAATTTCTCGTGGATTGTCCAACTTCCAAGATCCGACAATTGAAACTTACTCGCACATCATGATATATTGCGTGTATTATGACTTAATCTGCCAATTAAAGCAAAATAAGCACATGTCTCCAGATATTACGACTCTTAATTTTTACATATATGTTTTATCAAATTATTTATCATTTAACTCATGTTGAACCATGGACAAATATAAATTATTCTCATATTTTCATTACATTAACATTAGCTATGCATACTTATTCATATATGTATATGATTACTAGAAGAAAAAGAAGAAAAAAAAGAAGTGACCTAAAAATATGTCTTTCTTCGTTCAAAAATAGTCTAAAACCATAATAAATATTGGAAAATGTAACTTTTAGTTTATTAATTCTACTAATAATAATATATACGAAAATAATATATACGAATAATAATATATACGAAAAGAATGATTTTGATGATAAATCTAAAAATTTAGATAGACTTGAAAATAATTTTTTTGGATCATCAAAATAATTATGTAGGAGACTCAAGCATGATAAGTAATAATACTGTAAAAAAATTTTGACGTTCTAGCAATTAATTTAAGCATTTTACATAATTATTTTAATAGTCTAATAAAATTATATTCAGATCTATCTAATTAAATTTTTAAATACTTTAGCAAAACCATTCTTTTCGTATAAAGTTTCGAAATTTCACTGAGATTTCAGAAACCTTATAGTGTCTGTATAGCTAGAATTAACATTTCGGTTATATGTTTTCAAATAGGCCTTTAAATATCTCAACACTTTTTTGAAAATATTAGCTTGTTATTCCAATCCTAGTATCCTCCAACCAATGTTTTCGCGAAGCTTTTTACTGCCGAGAGAAACATTGCTGATCGCGCTATTATTTGTTTCTACATTTATTCGTTGCATCGCGCATACAAATCGGATCATAAGTAAGATGCGTGTGCCAGATGCTGTCGATGTGTACTGATTCTTAGTTGCTCGTCAGGTACTCGATGTTCACGGTCGTTTTAATCCGAGGACATGAGTTTTTTCCCAGACTCGGATGATGATCCATCGATCATCGACTCGCGGCGCGATGCGTGCGATATCGGTTTTTCGCGACGCGTGAGCGATGGGTCGTCGTGATTCAGGTATCCGGGTACCTGAATGACAACCAGCGTGCGAGTCGAGAGATTCCGGTGTAACTTTCCACAAACTCCTCGAAGATGTCAGGTCGACACTAAGCGGTGCGATGCTCCTTCTGCAGTGTTCAAATATTCATGTATATTCTCCGACAACGAATTCTCGTTCGACTCATTCACTCGCAATGCAGGTACATCCCGACGATCGCTTGTCCACTTTATCGCCAACCGGTTTTTATAATACGTATCAAGTAACGGATGTTCGCGCGAAACTTTACACGGAATCAAGTGTAAGTAACGTATAATTACACGAATGTCGCAAAAAGGGAAATATACGAAGAAGATGTCACCTTTCGCGTGCCGGAGATTAACATATTCGAGAAAAATTGAGTCAATTATTTTTCTGGTTGACGTCTGACATATATATTTATTAATCTTTTTCCTTTTAAAATATCCATAAATATAAATCTAAATGATGTAGAATGATTCTAGTTTTAATAAATAGTTGGCGTGCAACGGATGATAAAAGTCGCTCTGATACGAGAAATTTTATATCAAACGTAAAAAAAGAATTTCATATACACCTAGCATGAACAAAGTCGAAATCAGGCGAAATCTCAAATTTCTACTTAATCTGCAATATTTTTCGAACTTGATGGTCGCGTTTCAATCTTAAGAACGATTAATCAATGTGAGACACACAATTATAACGAATGTAATTTACTTCAAAATTTCAGCAAACGTAAGGGAAAAATCGACATTGCTGCATTGTAACGTGATTGTTAAATCGCAATTCACTCTTCAACACGTGTCCCTTGAATGGAAAGCATCTACGAGAGAAATCACAGTGATGGCAATTAGCGCGCTCGTGGCACAAACGAGGGAACGAACAGCTAATGCGTCGATATATCGACACATATACGCCATACGAATAATTATTGCTTTCGTCGATCACTACTGGCACGATGTATGCCACGTAATACTGCTTCGAAGCCACCTTGTTACTTTAAAGGAGATAGCGATGATGAAGCCAGTGGTGCTTAAACCTAACATAATACTTTTTCAATTCTGTCAAGTTTTTTTGCAAGGCGTGTGCGCTCATAAATATTCTTTCTTGGATTATTAATGTATATTAATAAATTATTGAAAATTTATGATCTTTACAAGATCTTTGACAAATTAAAGAATTTTATAAATATGCTTTATCTATACAGGGTAATAAAAAAGTTTGAGCACAAAGTTTTGTGCTCATCAAATTAGTATATTTACGAAAAACAAATTCTAAAGTTTTAATCATATCTAAAACTAATAATTAACATTAAAAAAATAGCTACCTTTAGCTTTGGTACAAATTTTAAAATGTTTTTGGAATGCATCAACGATGGCCGCGCACCTTTTTGTAAATAAATTCTCCTGGGCAATCAATAGAGTATTTTCAGTTTTTCCAATGAACTAATAAAGATTTTTTGATGCAGAGTCTTTTTGATATTTGATAAGATATAACTAACATACTCCAGAATTTTTCATAAATATACATTATTACTTAGGATAGCAAGCTAACGCTATTTGCAGTCATATTAATATCAAAATAACAATAAATAACGTGTTACCTGAATAATAATTTGATAAAAACAGAGAACTGTATGACTTTCTTGTCATCCTGTATATACAAATACACGTATATGTAACATATTATGGAAATTTTAATGTTACAGTTTCCGTTTAATAATTATTATAAATGATTAAAAAAAATAAATAAAATTAAATGAAGGAAAAATAATAGAAAATAAGAATAGAGAAATATTCGATTCTTGTTATGATAGAATTTTTTTAAATATTGCATCAATTTTTCGTTATATTGTAAAAAATATGATAGAATAAGATTTCATTTGTAAAAAACTACGTTAGGCACCACTGTGCGACATCTCAAAGGTGATATAGTTGCCGCTGTGGTTTGCACGGTTGCGACTGGCAAGCAGCTTCGATGCGATCGCATCGAATAACTCAGCTGGCTTCCTCTCTCGAGGACTAGGACTGAGTTATGGCCCGTGCAAGCGGACACTCACCAACACGCTTCGTCGTTTAACCCTTTGCCCGATTCGGAGTCCTGAAGCGCATTCTTGCCATCGTCGGCTTTTCCCTCGAACTCCCTGGAATCTTACGATTTCTCGGAGAGAATGGTCGAATGTATGATTATGTATCCGGCGAAGGACAAGTTCCTTTACGCGCGATGTGAATATCGAACGTATTTTTAATTCGAGAAAATTTCCTTTCTTTTTCTTTTTGTAAAATTGGTCTATCAGATATTTTCATATTTAAATCGATTCGTCGATAGAGAAATTGTACTCTAAAACGCATTTTTTTAATCCGAAATCGAAGAATTACTTTATATGGATAATGCATAATTGTTTTATATTAGTTTTATCGTCGTCAATCGCAATGCGCATCGAAACATAATGGAAATACAGTATTTGTCGTACATACGCACACACGTTTGGCTAACGTGCGACAGTTGGCCCTCGAAACATCGGCGACACATCGAGGACACGCATTAACGCGACTCTCTCTCGACGCCATAATGCGTATCGCGCATGGGTTTTTCGCCCCAGCACAATGCGTACGGGGGTTTCGACAATATGTTTGGGGCTACCGAAACGAGGCAATGGATGGATGGATGGATGGATGGATGGATGGATGGATGGATGGATGGCTGGCTGGGACAATCGCGGGGAGCGTCTCTCTACGGGGTAGGGGTGTTGCACGGGGGTTTGTTTAGGTTCCCGGGCGCGAAAGGCACTCAACCCGCTAATCTATTTAGCCGTAGTGTTTGATATGGAATTAATGAGACTCGCCGGCATTATGCCCAGAGCTCGTAGATTTTCGGTTTAGTCGTGGAAATAAAAGGGGGAAGCCTGATGCGTTCACCTTTTCATAACGGAGATCGCCTCGTACTATTCGCCAGCTGCAACACGTCGTAACATGTTGTCGATACTTTGAGATTTCGTAACGATATATCTAATCTTTAACGAGATATGTGCTCCTAACGCTTGTTTCTCAATGTACTTTAATTTTAATCTTAATTAACTCTTCATATTTTTCTAGTTCTAAGAATAAAAAAAATATGCAGAATAAATTGAACTGAGATTAAAGTTAATGTACATTGATAGAAACAGAGAATTCTCACAAAGAATTTAACTTGAATTTAACTTGGAAAAAAATCTCACGTGTAATCTCATGTGCAATTAATTAAATCAATTTTCAATTGGATACTGATTGGAGCTCTATGATCTTGTTGATTACAGTGTCCTGTGACAGTGAACTCGTCGTTGGCGCCGTCCTCGGCCTCGCCTGTCACCGGTGTAATCCTCAGCGCGGGCGGCTCGTCCCTGGTCAGCAGCGTAGCCGCCAGTACGACGACGAATCATCCTCTGGACGTAGCCGGTCTGTCGCAAGCGAGGATGGCCGTGACGAGCGCAATTGTAAGACCGCCTGGCAGTCCCACTACCTCGGTTAGCCCGTCCCAGGGTCATCCGCCACCATCGGCCGGGGGTCCTACTGCCAGGTGTTGCGATACCGGTCGGCCAATCTTCACGGATCCACTGACAGGCCAGACCGTCTGCTCCTGCCAGTACGAACTGCTGGGTGGCTATCAGCGTCTAGGTGGCCTACCCACGGCCGCGCTCTCTATGTACAGCGCGCCATACGCGGCCGCCGCCGCGGCGGCGGCGTCTGAGGGTATGGCTGCGTACTTTCCTAGCTTGGGCGCCGAGCAAGCACCCTTCTACACGCCCACGGTGAGTCGATGCTATTGAGTGTACAATGAAATGAAAAGGACCGAGGTGAAAGTTCGCGAAATCAAAATTCGACAATTCTATGCTCGCGTTTTTTCTTTCCATGACTACGAACGAAGGATTTTTTTTTCATTCTCTGCAAACTTCGCATGCATTATTTCCACTAAAATACATAATTGTTTACACGGTTAAACTACGCGCTCGACACTAGCCTTTGAATCGATTGTAATAGTATTTTGTCGCAACGGAATATGGTGTAAACTTTTTAGAATTTCCTCGCAGTGAGAAAAGTAGCGTATCGACAAGCCTGGGGGAGAGATAATATCGATGCATGACTGGAGCAATTCATGAAACAAAGGATATCATGGATTTTACGATTCTATCGATGATAATATAATCCGGAAATATTGGATTTCGTATAGCTGTATTCCATATGGCTAACTATGTTTATTTCTTTTGTTAGAGAAACAAGCAAATATATTTCATGATATAGTGCATTTTATGTAAGTCATCTTGTTTGTTCTGCATAATACTATAAAAAGACTCAAGCGGAAATTCTAGATGTGAAGATGCTAGGTGATACGAATAGCCTAAGATATTTATACAATCAGTAATTTCCATTATTTCCTGTAAGCAACTACATTTCCTAAAGTAACAAATTAATTTCACTTACGCGTGTGTAACTGTAGAATTAATTATCATTGTCGGACAAAGTGTTGAGTTAACGCATTTAAAAATTTTAAAATGAAGCTAAATAAATATGTATATCATCAATATGCAGAATATAGCGTATAAAAGAAAAATAATTGTTTTAAGTATAATGTTATTATATAAGTACTTAAAAACAAAATATGATATCGTGTGAAATATAATTTAAAGATATTATAAACCATTAAATGACAATTCTTTATAATGCATTTATAATTCTGTGCAAATATTTTCGTAAATGTCGTGTATAAGAAGATTCCTTTATATTCCGAGTAGAAATTACAACAATTCTGTCAATATTTTCGGATTCTACTTGCCATTCTTTCAAATGGTTCTCAAACTTGGCGTGAAGTACTAAAAGGTTAATATCTGAACGTAGAGTTCATTGGAAGCTCGGGATGCGAGGTTTCTCCTCGCAGTACTTCCGCGTTCCTGCGCACTACCGTTGATCTCAGATCGTCGAAACGTTCAACATAGCTCTCCAATATCGATAAATGCTTCGTGCGAGCCGGCAATAGTAGCAACGTTATATTCTGCCGTAAAATTTTTATCACGTGGATTAAATCCCAGTATGAACGAACTTCTATATTTCTGTATCACTGAGTGCAGATTAAATTCTGATACGGATTTTTATATTCATGGCTTCGTTGAATGTTTCGAAATGACGTGTTTATTTAGCGGATTAACAAAGTTTAGCGATCCAATTTTTCCGATGTGATGCAATTCGCGCCTTTCGTTTACGCGTGCAGAAAAAAAGCACTTCTTTTCGTTTCACACCGTTATTCCTTTCTCGTACAGCGATTCGCGATGTCATCATGATTAGGTGACTGGGAAAGAATTATTAATGTGTAATCTAGAAGAAGTGCTTTTGTATGTTCGTCCATGCGTTGGACAAACGTTATCGGACCACACGCGAAGCATGTAAGAAGAAATAGCGACGAAGCGGAAATTTATGAATCTATTCTACCGTAACAGTAGGACACTCACATATTGTCGAGTCGTTGTCACTAAGACCGAGTTGTTATCGTCGCTCTTTATGATCGAGCTTAAGGGGTGCGAGTATATAGCCATAGCCTGTTCTTAACGAGGGAGCAGATTGTACAGGTCGTGCACAGACTATGCGACGTTCGCGATATTACTTGTATAAAGTCATTAAGTATTGCTTTTTAAAGAAAACGTTTATCTTCTAACCTCCGCTCTGCGGCATTCGCATTTACACTGTTCATGGTGATTATCTGGCTGCGGTTTCGTAGATTTATATAGCGTAATTCCTGTCACAAACATTGCTTTTTGCAAAGCCCCGAACGTTATCGTGTAAAAACATTTCGTCTGTCATTTTGTGTGTATTTCGGATATCTGATATTAATCCTCCGACTGCATTCATATTTTTTACTTCGTCCGTCTGCAGTCTAGATTTTTTTCCGGTTAGCCTAAATTTTTTTTATTGTTCTAGGATTTTAAAAAAATTCAGGATTACATTTCAACATCTCTGTTACATTACTAAATAGTTCTTTAAGAGGAGAAATGAGACTTCGCCTTTCCTTATGTCAGAAATTTGAATTAGATTTCGCTTAAAAAACTCAGATTGGAAACAGAGGATTAATAACATATCAAGTTAAGATGTTATTATATATGTATGTGTATCGTGAGAGAGAGAGAGAGAGAGAGAGAGAGAGAGAGAGAGAGAGAGAGAATTGTCATTTATTTAGCGGCTTGGGAATATATTCTCTTTAAAACCCATATTAGATTACAGATTTCGATTGATGGTTGCCTCGTTCTGTTTCAACCAATCATGATGGACTCGTTATATCGTGATTGGCTGAAACAAAAGCGGGGAATCGTTAATCGTAATTGTCAACTTATATAATCTGATATGGGCTTAAAAGCACTCTTATAAATAAAAATATAAAAAGAAAAAATGTATTCAAATAAAACTTTTGGTTAATTATGAAGTGCTATAAAAGGTAATGTACAAATACGAGGTTGGAAAAAGAAAAAGAAATTCTTTAAAAAAAGAAGAAAAAGAATTAAGAAAAAATAATATTCCAAAACGATTTTATTCAATATTATATTGAGTAAAATTTTTGTCGGAGAAGACTTTTTATAGCCCTAACAAAGAAAGAGAGAAAAAGAAAGAAAAAATCTTTCATGAGCCTATTATATCCGCTAGATAAAATACAGAAATTTAATAGTGACTATCCTGTCATATAAGCGAGGTCATGGGTTAGAGAAGCAAACAAGAGAGCCACACACATCGAACCTAATTATTATTATCAGCGCTTTGCCAACTATTCTTTTATCATCATTGATGCATCAGAGATCGGACCGAGCCGTGCGACCGATACGAACTAATTGCGACGTTCGTTCCGAAAAATGGATCTCTTTCGAGCAATTAACCGCATTCTGCGCGATTTCATTTAAATGTTGTGATAACGAGTGACCGGGTTCGGAGAATGCACATACATATGCGCGGTAATAATCGAAATAAATCCATGTATGTGCAAATCAGCATGGACACTTGAAAACTTATGAAAATTATTGCTGCAACCGCTAATATGATACGTATATATAGATATATATTTATACACGTACATATTTATTAACAGCCAGAAAAAAAACTATGTGACATAAAACTATTCAAACTTTTTCGACGTAAAACAATCTCGTACAATAATTACTCTTATCACTCGTTAATTTACCGATCATTATCTTTCACCTCGTCTTTTGTTACTCATTATTTTATATATATATCATAATAATTGCATGATCAGCAATTGCAGAATTGAAATATTATGATATTTATTTGTACGTTGTTACAGGCCGCCGGTCTAGATCTTAAAGAAAATCTGGGCGCTGGAGCCGCAGCAGCGTGGCCTTATCCCTCGATGTATCACCCTTACGATGCTGCTTTTGCGAATTACCCCTTCAATGGGTAAGTCTTGTAAATATTTTCCAAATTATTCACTATATTTAACATATGTTGATTTCGTGTATATCCAATATCTATTATGTATACAGATTCAACGGTCCAAAACAACAACTGCTTAATTAGATAACAAACTGCATTTGGAAATAAGTTAGATAATTACTGATTATCGTTTTAAACGAAAGTTTATAATTGCCAAAAAATTAACGTTGATTTAAATAATGTCTAACTAGCTGGTATCAGAAAAATGTATTCGCATAAAGAGCGAAGACAATCCGAGCGAAATAAATGTCGTACCATATCAGCTTTCATAGAAAGGTAAAAATTTTCCGAAAGATCCTCGCGAGTGATAGGAAATGCCACGCTATAATTTTATTTATCTTCTTGATGTTGATAGCTTACAGCGGACGTGATAATTATTTTAATGTCACCGAAACATATTATATAGAAAAGATGCTCCTACTCTATAGCAAGAGCATAGTGTTCTTTTGCAAATCTATAAGACGCAGACGAATCTTAATTACTCCGTAATCTCTACGATGCATTATGTATTTTCAACGTCGACGCACTTTAATGCTTTTTCCGTCGCAAGAAAGGGAGAAAAAGAGAGAAAGATCAGGTTGTATGTGCTCCTTTTCCTCTCTACGGTCGATACGCTGGTGTACGAACGGAGATAAGACGGCGAGAGAAACACATAAACATTCCAATAAATTAGCGCTCAAGTGACCCGGGGCTGTCGCCATGACGCTTTTTTTCTTGCGCACTCGGAATCGGTCGCAGCGTGTCTGACGCGGTCGGCGAAAGGTCTTGTTTGATAATTTCAAGTCGGATCACCGGGATAATGGAGGTTAAAAATTTGGAGAAAGTATTCGGAGCGGCGCAAGCGATGTGACGCAACGTGACGCGACGATTCAGGCGAGGTCATCCGAAATATCGATAATTAGCCCGCTTAGTCGTGTTTCCGGGATCTCGCCAGTTTACGAGATTGTGGCAAACTCGAAAAACGTCGATTGTTATAACGGCGCGCATTTCATGCACAAACGAAGAATTATTGCGTGTACACATGATGATTGGTTCGTATCTATGTAAATATGACCGATAATATAAATTACTGTTGGACAGCCAGTCCACGCTTGAAATATTTCTGTATGAATAGTATCACAGTTGGGTCACTTTCGATCATAGCGAATGGGCCTCGATTGCTAATGAGACTTGGCTGTTTCCCTTTTACAGTTGACATTTTTAATATAAATCGACACATTGCGTTTCATTTATAATTTTGCTTAAATTCAACCGTTACTTTTCGACACTGCCCAGGAGGAAAGTCGGAGTGTATTTATATTTAAATATGATTTTGGTTTATATTTAAATATGATTGAACGATATTAGAACGTATCCACAATCCAGCTCCTACCATTTGTAATGTACATACATTGGAAAACACAGACACTTCTTCATTTGAGAAATTTTAATTGTAAATTTCATAAGGCTAGTATTAAAAATTCGCACTATGCATATGGCGTGCCATTTAACTGTGGCAAACTATCGAGTGTGTTAATTTGATCGATTATGTCTCTTAAAAAAAAAAACAGCCTCTATTTTTAAGGAGAAACGATTTTTTCAGCCGTGTATAACTTTAGTGCAGTCTGTGAAATTCTAAGTGTTACGGTCACAGCATTAATCTTTTTCTACATAATATCTATATCGCTGACGCGAGTCAACAAATTGATAAAGATTCAATTCCCAGCGTTTTACGTCAATGACATTGATCGAGGCGTTCGATATCCTGCTGTTTCTCAAGAGAAAAAAAAAAATATATATATATATGTATATATAATCGACGATCACGTATTTCGCCATGACGCGAGGAGCGAAAGAGACGCTCCTCTAAAGGCGAAGCAGCGAACCTGGTTGACAACAGCGGTCAACGCGTGGAACCTATACTATCATGCGTGACGCACTTCCGGCGATGGCTACTTCGTATGCAAGGAAGTGATCGGGTAATACAGCTTGCTTAGCATCCATTCGCTCTAGTCGTGGCCGAGCGACCGAGGTCCTCCTTTACGAGGACCCACCGCGCCGAGTCCGTGGGCCCCGCGCCGCACCGGAACTACACGCGTGAGTTCTATGAATTGTCAACAGGCGATACAGGCGGCAGCCGCGAAGCAATCTACACCTGCGTCAATTCTGGACAAAGATTTTAAATGGCAATCGGAAATGTCTTCCTTTCAAAGTTAAACTTTTATATATATTTCTTTGGTGCTTTCCAACAAGAGAGACACAATGTAACATAGTGATATCAGTGATCATTTCATCTTTGTATAATATTGGCAAACAACAAGGACGTAATAATTCATTACGTTATACTGTATTTTTTGCTGGAAAACATCTTTATCAGATTTGCGAAAGATTGTCGAAAGAATAATCGATTCTTTTTTCTTTTTCGTGAAATTATGCTTATTTAGCTAATGCGCGCCTACTCAGAAAGTTTCGTGCGCGTCGACGACACACCCCGTTCTCGCGTTTCCTTCGCATTTCGAGACGAACGGATTTGCACGACAAACGTGAAAGCTTTTCTTGACTCGCATATAAAACACATTATATTCAGCTCTTTATCGAATTGTATGCACGCGATATATCTCTTAACATCGTGCCATAAAGGTGAAGCTAATAAGAAATGCTTACATTGATGTTTAAGAAGCAGTGTGTGATGCCTGAAGCGCCCGTTATTGTGAACGCCTATTATATCTTATCATTAAAAGGAATGTGTTACTTCCATTCCCTCTAGCTCTTGTTTTTGCAACAACCGGAAGTGAAAAAGAACTGACTTTAAAGTGCTCACTTTTGTTTATTCATCATTCTTCTGCGTGCACTATCACTTTGTATCACATGTTATATATCCATAATTTTCTTGTAGACAGTTTCTTAGCATATATAAACTTTCTCTTCATATCTTACATCGTCTAAAGCGCAAGGAATATTATTTAAGTTATAATAAATAAAAAGTATATCTTTCATATATAATTACTCTCTGCATTGTTAATTATGTATATTATAAATTATTATTATTTATATTATAAATTATTATTACTTATATTGTAAATTATTTCTTGTAACGCGGAAAACTACACTAACCACAAAGTTATTTTTATTAACTACGTGATAGTTATATTATCAATTATGCATTGTTAATTATTTATATTCTAAATTATTTTCGTATTATTTCTTGTAACGCGAAAAATTACACTAACCACAAAGTCATTTTTATTAACTACGTGATAATAGTTATATTATCAACTCATCAACTAATTCTATGAAATGATTATTATTATCATCTTCGCAAAGTAATAGCAAAGGTATCGTGCGAAACGTTTCGGTAACGCCTGGCCCGGAACTATCCCTTAAATCGAAACCGGGAGGTGCGAAGGATCTGGCGCATTATGCGTGAGCGTGCGCGACGACCACTTAACATGAGCATACAAAAAGCCAATAATGCAGCGTTGGCATGCACGGCCGCAAGGTCTCGAGATCGTGCGGGTTAACGGTCTCGTCTTTCCGGCGGATTGGCCCTGCTTCCGGAGACATATAGGGTAGACAATAAGAAAGCGACGAACAGGCCCCTCTGTCGTACGGGCAGGCCCGCTTACGTCGTCTCGCGCGCTTTATGTCCGGCATATCAGTTAAGACCAATCACCGATACGTAGTATTATTAAGCGTGTCTGTACAACGACACCGATGTGTCGGCACGCGCTTCGAGTCTCGAACGAATATCCCGAAGCACGACACGAGAATTCCAATGTAACCTACGCGAAGTCATCAGATATGAACAAACGCGGTTATTAACAGAGAAAAGAAGATTCTTCGTAGAACTGTTGTGTATTTGTTCGTTGTGTAATCGAATACAATGTGTACTTCTTGAAAAAGTAGCTTTTTAGTATATACTTAAATTCGTCAGCGACGAAATTGCATATGTATAAAAAGATAAATTCACAATTTCATATGGAAAGAACGACTTGGCTGAATTAAAAAATTTAAATACAGATATAAAATAATTTTGATAAATCATTAAAATAATTATATAAAACGCTCAAACGTTAATGATAATATTGCAAAAATTTTAATATTCGAGCACTCATTTAAGCGTCCTGCACTGTTAGTTAAATTCATAATGTTAATCCATATCCAATTTGAATTCTTTTTAATCATTTTTAGGTTGTCGTGCTCCTATTCAGTATCATTAATTTAATTAAAATAATAGAGTTAAATTTAACTCGAGAAAATATGACTCAAATTTATTATTTACTAAATACACACATATGTTAATATGGATATTGCTTACTTTGGAACTATCTAATATAGAAAAGATTGATTTTAACATACATAGAAGTTAAAAATAGCAGAATATTATTTAACTCAAAGAATTGGGTTGTTTCTCTGATATCTAATAATGACACATAATTATTTTGTCCAAACAAAATTATTTTCAGATTTGTAGTCAGTTAAATTTTTAGATATTACTTTAACAAAACCGTACATCTTCCTCCGATGATCTTCTTCCGATGATCTTATAAGGAGAATTAAGACTTTATAGCCAAAGGACGCTCGTAAATAGGATGTAAAGATCGATTTAATGTTATCATTTAGAAATGAGAACCTTAAGAGCAGCATCCACAGCTCGTCGCCGATAGGACTCGAAATATTTCGCAGCTAATGAGACGAGGCGGGGCTGGTATTCTGTACTCTTCGGTGCCCCGCCCGTGAGATACGTCTCGCGTGGATGATGTACGGCCGTTTAATGACCCGGTTTCGGTCTCGGGGGACGGTTTTTGCTTGAGTGGTAAGGGTTGAGGGAGATGTGCACGGCGGAAAAGTCAGCGACACTCGTTTTTCGTTAGATGAAGGGATCGCGGGGCCCACGCGCACAGCTTCATTCCTTCGGTAACATGCGGATGACAGCGATTCGTCGAACCGCGTGACAGGCAGCCCGCGGAATGCACGCCGCTCTT